TGAGCCAATAAGTGCACGGAGGAGCGGAAGGCCGGACTCGGCAGACATGCAAAATGGTGTATTTGTTGACATCTCTCAAGATCCGATAGCGAGAGGTGGAGTTACGCATCGATCGATGAGAGACGGGGGCGAGCGGGGAGCGGTGAGCGGGCGAACGGCGCGCAGCAAGCGAACGCGCAACATATGACACCGCGCCGAAAAAATTTTTCTGGTGGTAGGAAAATAATACACCATTTTGCATGTCTGCCGAGTCCGGCCTTCAGCTCCTCCGTGCACTTATTGGCTCAGACGTTTTTCTTAATTACGCGATAATAATTACGGATTTTGTAAAATGGTATATAATTTTTCTTCTCAGCTTGACCCAATCTACTATAATCTTTGGAGTCGTCCAAATTGAATCCGACACCCTGTATGTACAAAAGCACCCTAATCTTTCCACGTGCTCTTGTACCATGTACCATTAGTATGCTAGGAGTGGAGCTGCGTGGAGTATAACACTGTGCTCTTCGACAAGAACTTTACTATATAACCGAGGTGAGTTGTATGTAAAAATAATTATTAAAGCAAGGTAAATATTTATTTCTTAGTTAAATACCACCATAAAGCGTCATATATTGAATTTGTACACTGAATGTTACCATTCAGATGCCGTACAACAGTTCGTCATGAGTCGCAATGTATTTTGGGGTTGTGTGAAAAAGTTTATCCAGTAGTAATAATAATAATAATAATAATTGGTTTCAATTAATCGTGAAGTTCGAAAGTTACAGTATTATCAGTATTGCAATTACATGAGGTGTACCACTTTGAAGTGGTAAAGCCAACCGTTGCAACCGCTACGTGGCACGCCACGCGTAATGGTAATACTGGTGATATCGTAAATTTCAAGCCCCATAACTCCGTAAATATTTAACGAAGATATAGTTTCACATATTTCATCACTAAACTTTTAACTTCTTATCGTGTATTAGGCTTAAAGACTCTTTTATTCAGTTTGTTCATAGACATAGTATATTAGACCGCGCATTGTGGCTGCAGAAGTGTACACAATCTAGAAAGAGCCAATGGCCGGTATTCATAGTCAATTCTTATTTCAAAATCATCTTAAGTGTTGTCTTAAGATGATTTTGAAATAAGCTTACTAATACGGCTCTGTGATTGGTTGAAAGCACATTAAGAGTGTACTTAAGATAATCTTAAATATAAGAACGGACTATGAATACCGGCCAATATACTTTCCCTCGTGGTACTCTCTCAATATGGCTACTGCAATATGGCAAAAATTCAATATGGCTACTGTGCTTGACACAGAGGGTTTTCCTATTCTTCTGTTACCCCTATTACTTCACTAGACAAAGATGAAGTTACGAGCCAACACGCGAGTCAGGTAGAGAACACGCAGTCTATACATATACATATACTATGTCTATGAGTTCGTTCAGTAACAGAACGAACTAAGGGTGAAATCATACAATACGGGTATCAGCGGGACACAGGACGCTGCGTCATTCATACAGGCAATCGGCGTTCTTCCGCATTTTTCTATCCCGCATATCTTCGTGCCCTATGCACACAGTGCGTGAAAGGCTCGAAAATAACGCGTTCCAGGAATATTTCATAATATTTTCTTGTAAAAAAAACAATATTTCCTAATATTTTTTAACATTTCTTTGTAAAAAACACAATTTGAAAAAATTATTTCACTAAAACATTAATATTTGTTAATTTTATTCAAGTATACTACTTAAAATGTTGAAATAAACATCACTGCGACAGTATTGAACAAATTTTATTTGAAATTATATTACTACAAAAATTAGTTTTGAATCCTAAGACGCAATTTTGGTCATTTTACCGTATTATATGTACACAGAGCATGCTAAAATCATGCGTATGCGTAATTATTGATCTGTGTCTTTGAAGTGTCTGAGAATTTTGGGGCAAAGATTAAAAATGGACAATAAATTGATGTTACAAGAAGCTATTAAAATTTTAATTAAATTTTATGTTAAAATCTCCGATGTTACCTTATCGAAAGGAGAAAGTGAGATCAACGTTAACCTAGCCTAACTATTTAGAAGTTTGTTTTCTGTCCCTGCGCTGATGAACTAGTGCAATAAATTAGAGTAAGACAAGTATATATTTTTTTATTTTACCTTACTGCACTTATAGTTTACCAGTACAGGAACAGAAAACAAAACTTAGATGGCATGAAACAATGTCGAGGAAAAAGTTCAAAGAAGTGTATGAATTAGATCAATTTACACCATAGAACAACGGCTTCTTCAAGAAGACAGTAACAATTTAGTTACAATGTTAAGACCAATAGACCCATCGCTGTATGTATTTTAATTACTTCAGTATGCAGATGGACATTTTTGGTAAACTGTTTGTCTTAGTGGGTCTTAACAATTGAAAAAGAATATAAAATTAATGTACAAAGATTAACCTAGATTCAACGTACAAAAGAGATTTATACTTCAACATTCAACTTTGCAACGTTTCAGCAACATTATTTTAACTTTCTGTGCTGTACGGGCCACTGTTTTGTATCATCATGTCGCACATGACACTCTCCCCTTACGTTCGATTTACGCTCCAATTTTTATTTTCATTAGAGCTGGATCATACGCGGCACCTTACCGCTGAAAATGGAAGCAAAAACGTGGATATTAAGGCCCGGTTTCACCAAACGTCGCTTAACTTTGTTAGTTTAATTCACGTTCGTCTCTTTCTAAAGTAACAGCTGGAAAGAGACAAAGAACGAATTAAGCTAAGATTCAAGTTAAACAACGTTAGAGAAACCGGACCTGAGGGAGTCTACCACTACCGTCGTTGTTTCCAGACCTGCATGTAAGACCGTAGTATGTACTGTAGAAGCTGTGTGAACTACAACCTGAAACTCATTGCTACATTGATGGGAATAAAGATTATGAAAATGGGAATCCCAGTAAAACTGCAGTCACGGTATTAATGGTAATAATTAACGGTCCAGGTATTAATGAATAAGACAGTACATGCTCGACTCGGGACTGAATCGCTAGAAGCGGAATCACTCGCGTTGCCCTCGTTGAAGTGCAACCTTTTCGAATGTAGTTGACAATTTGACGCTCGACAATAAAACGCGGCCGCTAATTACCGCCGTCGTAATTATTTTTTAGAATAGCGTCGCGAAAATTGCCGGCATAGTCGGAAGCACGTGTGCGGGTAATTTCTCGGGTAGACGCGCCGGTAATTTGGCGATCGGTAATAAGCGCGAACGCTAATTAGCGCGGCTTTGATTACTTTTCGAAGCGGTATCTTTTACTCGCGAAAATTGCAGGTGTCGTCGGGAACACGTGCGCTCGCGTGTATGATAAATAACCATTTTACACGAGTGCGTCAGCAGGCACGTGATACGTGCCGCATGTTTAGCGAATCAAACACAACGAACGCAGTCTCGCTAGGGGGTTCACATATTGTATAAAGATTCTATTTTCGGCGAGCAAAGGAATTTCAGAAAGATTACACAAAAACAGAGTCAGATTACGATCCCAAGTTCCACCAGACTCGCCGGACTTTACGGACTGTAGACTTTGCAGTTACATCTAGGAAATCTTTTACGTCACTACTTTCAGGCGGTAGCCCTCGTAGACGGGAAGAACGCGTTAGGTCAAGTGGTCGGCAAGTATTGTATGGAGCTCGCCATAGAGAAGGCCAAGAAATTCGGCATCGGCATGGTGGCGGCGCGCGGTTCCAATCACTACGGCATCTGCGGCTACTACACAATGATGGCGATGGAGCAAGAGCTGATCGGTTTCACCTGCACCAACACGAGCCCGCTGATGGCGCCGACGCGCAGCACGAAGGCCTGCTTAGGGACGAATCCCTTATCCGTGGGAATGGCCGCCCGCGATGGCGACGAGTTCGTTCTCGACATGGCAACCACCGCCGTCGCCCTGGGCAAGATCGAGCTGGCCATTCGGAAGGACGAGAACATCCCCGAGGGCTGGGCACTCGGGTCTGACGGCAAAGTGACTCGCGATGCCGAGGAGGCTTACAAAGCTTCGTTGTTGATGCCTCTCGGTGGCGCGGAGCACAATTCCGGGTACAAGGGCTACGGTTTAGCTCTGATGGTCGAGATGCTCTGCGGTGTCCTGAGCGGAAGTCATTTCGGGCCGAACATACGCGCCTGGAAGACCGGCGACCGGGAAGCCGACCTCGGGCAGTGTTTCATGGCCATTAACCCGGAGGCCTTCGCGTGCGGTTCGAAGGACAGACTGACGACCTTGCTCAAACAGCTGCGAAGTCTGCCCGCCTTCGGCGAGAAGCCGGTCCTCGTTGCCGGCGATCCCGAAAGGCAGCACATGAAAAAGGTCGACACGGAGGGCGGAATCGCGTATCACCCGAACCAGCTAGAGGCCTCGGAAGAGTTCGCTAAACACATGGGTGTGCGACCGATGACACTTGTCTCTAAATCCGTTTGATTTTTTTACTTACCAACGAAAAGATCAACGCACTAATCTACTCGATTTTTTTATACTTTATCCTTGGCCGACTTTTGTAAATCTCAGTAGAGTGCGAAGGGTAATCGAACATTAATTCAACACTGATTTGCCTATATATTTGTGGGCCAGGTGCTCCTTATAGCGAACAAATACATTAATTTTCACACCGATTAACGAACATTATGCAATTTATTGTTGACCCGAGTTGCATACAATTAAACGTGATCACATAAGTGCTTTATAGAACGATCGCTTTTGCAAACATCTGGAAGGTTAACGTAAGATTTATAAAAGTCGTTGAGCTGATTATATCAATCTCCGAGTTGGACGGATAATGTTTATGCCGAGGCAAATCGGTTCACGTGTGCAATTCGATGATTTGAGCGGACACGATGTTCGCTACGATGACATAACCAGCCGCTGCGGTTTGATCGCCGGTCGATGATGACGACGGCCTTGGACTTGCCCGCTCGTTCTCGATTACGGTTGTTACGTCTTTGCAAGTGGGTGTCACCGATAATGTGGAACTCGGCGGATTATCGGAAATAAATACGTCGCAAAACACGCGACAGGCTCATTGTCTTACAAGCGTTGCATATTAATTACGCACTTTTTTGTCACCTGGACACTGGCTATTTCTAAAGAGATTTCGTGCACGCATAAAGTGATAAACGAACGTACAATTTTTTAATAAAAATTCTCGATTGCATTTTACGTTTATAAATTTATATATATATATATATTCTTAATATGCATATTAATCTTATATTTAATATGCACATGTATACGCAAATATATGTTTTTTGATAATATTGTATACAAAAATAAATATATATATTTTCTGTGCTGTTATTTGTGTGAAATCGTTGCATACAATTCAGTCAGTTTTAGAGCTTAAAAGATTCATTTGAAGAAACTCTTCGTATTTTGCTCGCTTTTTCGCTCGAAAACGGTAAACAGGGTTATCAAACGACGTGTGTCGCGTAGACGCGGCGTCTGACTCGACTCACGTTATCAGCCTCCGTCGAAAGAGGACAAGATTATAAGTGCTAATGTTCGCTGTTAATTTCTCAGAACCGAAAGCTGGTTAATGAAGCAAACAGAGCGAGAAATTAATTTGTTCCGCGAAGTCCAGTTTTTAAGAACAGTCCGTTGTACAATTATTTTTCGTCAGAAAGACTTTCGTTACAGGTGCCTTCCAGGTAGCGATGAAGCACCCGCGGGCTTCCTCGTAACGTTGCAAATACAGATTTCTCTTAATTGGTATTCTATCCCGTCGAACGATCGAAGATATCACCTTCGCGCGAATGTATAGCCTCGTGTTAGAGACGTGAATTAAAATCGTAACGTTGCATTCTCTCGATCAACGTGTCGATAAATTTAGAAGTCTATGTGACTCTTCACAGCCGTTACATGAATCGAGGTATAATTATCTCGTGTGGTCGTTTCTAAATTTATCATAAAATTTAATACGCTATCTTTGTCATATTTTCGCTGTATTTACTTGTTCACAGAATCTTTTGCGGTTACATAATATTTCAATTAGTATTTTAATAATTGCGAATACTTCGATAACAGATATGTATGTCTAAAAGATGACTTAAAGATGTCTTAAAGATGACTCTTAGACATGCGTGCTGTATGGGAAGCTACACTGTCCGTGTGTCCGCGTGCGATGCAATTAGAGCTTCTTGCGGCGAAGGTCGGTCGCAATTATCACTATTGACTTCATTCCGAAAAGGGAATCTACGTAAGCGTGTACGAAGAAAAGAATCGGCGAGAAAGGCGATTTTATGGAAGACCCGTCTTAAAAGTATCGCATGCGCTATAATCGATTGCGACAAGTGACTCTTAAAATCTGTCGTTACTTATACTCGTTTTAATTTAAAAAAAACCTATTGTCGCATTACACGACGGGGTGTTTTTCTTCGTGAAGAAATGTTAATTTTCAAAATGAACGCGCTTATTCTGCCTTGCACTGCTTCTACGAGATAAACGACCGACTCGACTCCGCATATTTTTCAGCCTGGCGGAATCAGTGAATGTACAGGAGGTCCAGAAGTTATCGACATGCTTTGTTTGTCGCCGTATTATCGGGCAGACAGGAACGACACGCGCTGTTCCCATCTTACTCTTTCGCGCCGATAACGCGGCTCTTCACAGGACCCGAGGGGTGGGGGCAATTAAATGTTTCTAAATGAAAAATATGTTGTTGCGCGAAATCGTCGTGCGGTATCGCTGTTAACGATAAAGTCGAAGATAGAGCTCAAACTTGTTTCTAAAAAAATTTGCATAATTCATCCTCTGACTCAGACAGACGATCGACGGATTGGTAAAGTACGATTTGCCAAGAGAGAGAACTCATATGACTCATTAAAACGCCGTCGGCTAGTGGCATCGCAGTCGACATTAATTAGACTTATCTCTCTAGTCGAATCTCCGTCAGAATCGATAATCGCAGTACATGTTTCCTCGTCGATATATCTTAGACAGTGCCGGTTTTAACAACATTGGCGCCCTGAGCAAGATTATCGTGGCGCCCATTCAAATTCAGGGGCTCGAAATTCTTGCGAAAGAAAAGACAGGGTAATAATATCGAACGACGAACCCCATTTTGTTTTTATATTTTAGGGAATTTCTCTCAAACTAGGTGAAACCAGACAGCGGCGCCCCTACAGATTTGGCGCCCTGGGCGACCGCCCAACCGCGCCCCGCCCTAAGGCCGGTACTGATCTTAGATCTAATTCTTTGAAGGACTAAATCGGCGAACATTATGTAAAGACACTTTGCAAGAATCAAGACTTTTTTTACGATTTATATGTAACGTAACATTAAATTGTTCGCACTGAAAAAAAACAGTTCGCTACCGTAGCCAATCATGATTCGCTAAAAATCTTTTGCCGCGTTAACTGTAAGTTTCTAAAGCACAGCAAACGGTTTGCCGTCGCGCCTGAAACAATAGGCACAGTAGCAAAATATTAGCTAACCAAATATTAGCTGTCCATATTTTACAACTGAAATTTAGTTGCCACATACAGTTTTTAGCTACGGCGGCTAAATTTCTTTCCCCCCGTGCAAATGTCTAGCGTGCAAATAATCTGCATTCACGTCATTGCTGAATTCCAATTGATTATCGCGTGTAGTAATTATCTTGATATTAGTTCCGGCGAGAAAATCTTCACGTAGCACGTGATTTGCAAGTCACATGCGCTTGCGACCCGTTGCAGGAGGAAAAAGGGATTGCGGAGCCCACGTACGGTGTGATTCATCTCCCCGTCGCGGCTAAACAGGAAGGAAGGTTCAATAATTGGACAAACGATCCTGTCCAAAATGCAGTCGTCTGCAGTGTTGACGCATCGCGGGCACGATAATTCATCGCCGCTCCATGTGACTCGCATTAACTAATTCACTGCGATCTAACACACTGCCAGGGGGTCATGGAACCCATGGGACATCCGTGGCGTTCTGGGACCTGCATTCCCATGACGGTTTCAACGTGCGATACCAGCCCGCACGGCCACCTTTAATGTTTGCCGAATAAAGCGCACGCTGACGTATCTCTTCGGTGTACATTATAAATACTCTATATCTTCTATTTGTTCTCTCGCGATCGGAAATGTGCCTTTTAATCTGAAGATAAAGATTTTATTACGCAGTGAGAAAATTGCTCGCCAGAATACGTTGCGGTTTAATAATGTTCGATTCGTATTCGGATCCGCGTCTTTTGCAACTGCAACCGCAAGTATAATGCAGCAAGTGTAATAAATCAAAGGTATTCAATTACAATGCGCAATACGGCGATGATCGATGAACCACCGCCACGCGCGAAAACGAGCCCGTCGTGAGAGTACACGAGAAATAAAATACGTCTGGGGATACGCGACCGCGACAAGTACAAGGATGCTGCGAAGGAAACGTATCGCCTGTCACGCAACGACGCTCGCGATACGTTTCTGCGCGCGGATGCAAACCGCGCGTTGATCATTCGGAGATTATTGAGAGGTCAGCTCGTTCTTGGAAGGAATTTATCTCGGGTTTGCATTGAGTCAACTCTCTTTTCAGAGATCGCCATCGCGATTAATTACCGCACGGAAAAAACAATGTAGCTGCTGTAGCTAAAACTTAGCAAAATAGGGACAGCTAATATTTTAGTTGTGATAGCTCAATATTTTGCTACTGTGCCTATTGTATTAGGTGCGACAGCAAACGGTTTGCTGTCGTAGCAAAATATTGAGCTATCACAACTAAAAATATTAGCTGTCCCTATTTTGCTAAGTTTTAGCTACAGCAGCTACATTGTTCTTTCCGTGCGCGATTGCCGGGCGTCGTTGCTCGATTTTCGTTATCAGCGATCGCGAGCGAAAATGCAGCTTGCAGGCTTGATCTCGACGATTTCTTCGCACGATGATGCACTCTGCTTACGACCACACGGAAAGAATTTTCTTTGAAGATTTACTCTGAAAATCGTGTGATCGTGAGGCCACGTGACATTTTGAAGAACTTTATGAGAGTTTTTTTTAATTTTACTAGTAAAATGTATACTATAGGTATAATTACTAGTAAAAAGTATGGTAAAACTTCAAAAACCTCTTCAAAATGCTAATCTCTTACGATTTCATAATATTCAGGGTAAACTTTAAGAGAAAATTCTCTTTTGAAAGAAAATCGTGGGACAACATGGCATTTTGAAGAATTTCATGAGAGTTGTTTGAAATTTTACTATACTTAATATACATTTTACTAGTAAAAAGTATGGTAAAATTTCAAAAACCTCTTATAAAGTTCTTCAAAATGTTATATCTTACGATTTTATAATGTTCAGGGTGAATTTTAAAAGAAAATTTTCTTTTGAGAGAAAATTGTGGGACAACATGGCATTTCAAAGAATTTTATGAGAGTTTCTTAAAATTTTGACGTACTTAGTGTATATTTTATTAGTAAAATAGTATATAGTAAAATTAGTAAAATAGTATATACTGTATATTTTACTAGTAAAAAGTATAGTAAAATTTCATAAAACTCATAAAATTCTTCACAATGCCATGTTGTTCCACGATTGTATAATTTTCAGGATAAATTTTGAGAGAAAATTCTCTCCGTGTAGACGTGATTGATATACGCGAGTCTCTCGCGCGCTGTGCACGAATAAATTCATTGATATCATCACGGA